TCGACGTAAGCAAACCAGCCCTTTTGGCGCTTCGGCTGGGACCGTATGCTGAATGTTGGGGAGGGGATGGAGTCCCCGACGGTGGACGGACCACTTCAACTCGGTCCTTAGAACCGCCACAATTTGGTGCTTACCTCAGAACTAAGCCTTAAAGAGAGGACGGGTCCGTCCCCTCTCCAAGGCTTAGTCCTGGGGTGAGCAAACCAGCCCTTCTGGCGGAGCTGCTGGACCAGCTGCACCACTTGCGTCAGTACTCTCCTATCGTACCAACCGAGTTGAAGTAAACCGTCGACCGTTGGGGACCCCATCCCCTCCCCAACATTCAGCATACGGTCCCAGCCGAAACGCCAAAAGGGCTGGTTTGCTTACCTCCTACCACTTTCTTCCCAGCCTTCGGTCCTCAGCGGGACGGAATTATGAGGTTTTGTAGCAAACCTTCCTCCTTGTTAGCACCGCGCTAATGATGTGGGCGGGGTGTGCACCAAAAGGCAATCTTTATCAATTACATATAGTAGGCTTGTGGAATGATTCCGAGTAGGCTTTCTTCCAAAGTGCAAACGTGACATCTGAAGAAATGCACTACTTTCAGGATCTTTTAATCACGGAAAAGTTAGTGTCCACAATAAAAAGATCGCCATGAAGTTATTGAACAGTGCTCTTGGTGTTGCCGGCGTGGAGTATGACGGTAAGTATGTTAATTTTATCCTTTTTCTCAATTCTGCTTCAATTGTAAGATTACAGGCTTGAAACAAAATTGTTTCATTAGTGGTTATTGATGGAGTCAGCCCCTGTCGCTCATTAAACTAGCTAAGGATCCACGTCCTTTGAAACGTCAGTTTTCTTCAGATTCAGGTGGGTTATAGACTTCTATTGTCACTTGGAAATTCTTCGGCCACATGGTCGCACGCAAAAATTAAATTATCGCATAAAGGAGCTCAGAAGGTGAGTTCGATCTCAGATTACCTTCTATTATTTTCTTTTCCTTTTTTTCTCAAGAAAATGCGCAAGCATCTAAGACTTATGGGTGAACATCCGAGAGAGAATCCTTGCTTGTTTTTTCCTTTATCGATTTCAGAAGCAGTAGCTTTCCTAGTTCAGTGTTCAAAAAACTCTTTAAGCCATTCCTCTCTACAAAAGACTATTCTTTAACGTGTTTTATTTTCAAAATCGAGCAATTCTGCGCTACATTCTACATTCTAAGTACCGACCGTAGTACTCATGAAGTAATCAGCTTTGCGACTTTGCTGGGTCAGACTTTGCGAATCGAGCGTTCGCTACTAGCGATTCGCTAGCGTCCGCGGTCGCGTTGCGGTACCAGCCAATTGAGTGATTCACTGGCCGCGACGCGACCGCAGACGCTAGCGAATCGCGCGATTCGCAAAGTCTGACATCGGCCTTGACAGGGATGCTTAATTGGAATTTTCCCACGAAATCCCTACTAACACTACTTTATTATGTACTCGATTTATAAAGCATGGGAGATGAACATGTGGGAAATCTGTGTGCTCTAGGTATACCCACCAAGCTTGAGCACCTTTCCTCAGCCGTAACATGACTGTTCAAGCGCTCAACAATTCGATGATCGCCTTTGTTTGCGCATCTATCTATCTTTTTTTAACCTCAATATTTATAACTTCACGAGCAATTTAATTAGGGTAAGGAGTATTTTATTTTCGTATCAGATACTGCATTAGGGTAATTTTTGAACATGAAGATTGATGTCTCGAACTAGCGAATGAGTCTCCTACGCGTAAAAGTGCAGAATCCTGCATGTCATTTCTGTCATTGAATTAGAAGGTTGTCAAATTGTGATCAATAAAAGGGGGGGGGGGTGTGGAAGTATACGGGGATCAGTTTCTGAAGATATCACGTACAGTTTTGGCAAACCTTGACGGAAGAGGGTATGCCGCTTCTGCTCGGAGCTTGTGTCCCCTTGCTTCGTCAGGGCAAGCGACGACGAGCTAAATCCCTCATTACTCGTCCTTCCTCTCCACTACCTACTGAATCATTCATAGCGTTCTAGTTTCGTGCTCGTCTCCGAGCTCTCCGTTTCCGCAGCGCACTCTGCCACCGGCTGCCAAACCCTCGGCAGCCACCGCGCTATCTGAGCGCTGGCTGCTCGTCTGCCGTTTCCGCTGCCTACGGCTTCCGTCATCGATCTTCCCACCTTCCTACTACTGTATCGCATGTCTACCTAGCGCCCCGTTGTGTACATCATCACCAAGTAATGCACTTCTGAGATACTGGAAATATCTGGAGAAAAACCGTCAGTTAATATTTTCAGACGCGATAAAGCCCACTACGAATATTTGAAGACTATTAATTAAATGAATATTTCAAAGTTAGCATAACCACAATTATCAAAAGTAATTCGTGAATATGCATATTAGTTTAATTCAGGTGGAATATGTCATATAGTGTATGACAATATTGGAATTTTAATTATAATGTTTCCTTGAATCATTAAGAAACAATGGGAATTGCGCTGTGTCTTTTCTCTCCTACATGGTTAGTTCTCAAATGGTTCCTCTGCTTCGGTGTAAATGGGATATATTGCATGTTGGATTCCCAGCCAGCGAGGCTATATTTATGGATACGGTAAAAGAAAAGGACTTTTTGATACGGTGTTTTTGTAACTGGGTATATGACTGATCAGTAGATTTAATCTATTTTGGATTTACTTGTAGTTCAGTAATTTTATGCTGGCCCCCAAACTTTCTGTAATGATTGTTTTACTAATATTGGTATTTCATAAGTTATCTGAAAAGGTTTATTTATTATATGTTATCGTATTTTTCTTTACTTGGTGACTTGAAAGGGATGCCACATTCATTACGTTGAATATGAAGCATTTTCCTTTGACAATCGAAAATTGATCGGGTTACTCAATTTGGGTGAAACATTAGGTATTGTTGATTTATTCCCAATTTATTTAAAGTTTATACTTATAGATATTATCATGAATTTTTGATACATTTTTTAGTATGACTTATCAACTGGCAGACGCGACTTAATCGATATAATTTTAGGATAAGCACGTGTCGCAGATGATGCCTAATCGGCTTCAATGCTTTCATTTGAAATATAATTTTTCGCAAGATCGGGAGCAGTTAATAGTGGCAAAAGTTCGTGACATCGTATCGAATTTAAATCATATACAGATAGTCTATGTACAGCCTGTGACAAATACCTTGGACCGAAGAGATTTCGAATTATTAGAGACCATTATCATCATTGATTACGCGATCAGTTGAGATCAATACTTGAGAGAGAAGTGAACGAGGGGAATGACTTAAACATCATCATCATCATCTCACCACGGCAGAAAACCGGTAGAGAACTCAAACACGCTCTATGTGTCGATCGATAAACTCAGTTCAATACAAATCGATATAATATCCTATATAAAGAGTACAATTAACACGACGCTTTACAAGCAACATTATTGAAATTTAAGTTCTTGGCTAAGGGTTTGACCGGTGTGTTGGCTGTGATCGAAGTAGCCGGGTAGGGCGCTGAACGGTGGTGGACATTTGCCACCAGTGGCCGATTGCATGAGACGTGGCGCCTGGGGCGCCCCGTTTCGACAACGAAATTGAGACCTGAAATCTCTATAAAGGACTAGCGAGGAAGTGTGAAGCCACAATGATTTTTTTATTATTATATTTATTTATTGAAGAGTGATCATGATACGTGAGAAAAGACGATAGTGATTGGAAAGTGATGAGCAGGGGGTGATTTACGGTCGAAGAGGCCTATTTGGCTTGGTGCGTAGGTGGGGGGGAGGAGTAACGTTGAGGAGTGGGTGGAATAACAGGAGTTATTCCTGCATTATGAAGTAGTGGAGGTTATCTTCATCGCCATTTATCCACTCCCCTTCCACGGCTCAACGGCAACGGAGAAAAATGGAAGCAAGTGGAGTTTGTCATGGCACCAGGATCAACCAAATTGTAAACACCATCAAGGGAGTCATACTGATCATGGAAGGGGCGGAGAGGGAGGTAGAGGCGTACTGCCGCGACTATTCCCTTGGCGCAATGTTCACCCTTGTAGTCAGATTGATGAGATCAGAAAATTTATGTGGCCCCACAAGGAAAGGTAAGCTTCTATGGGACTTCCGCACCAAAGCGAAGGGATTCGAGAATTTCATTTATTCTAAGAAAAACGCATTTCGTTAGTTCCTGAGCGGATGTTCCGCTCTATACTCGGCTGTGCATTGCGGTCTAGTAGTGCGCGCGGTAGCGTAGCGGCTGTCTCATTCTGAATAGAACGTCGTGTCAACGTTGTGGCTTGCGAAAAAGTTCAACTCGCTTATTTCATCAATAACAATTTTCTCAAGAATCGGTCTGCTTATCGCAACCGCCACGCGACCGCCCGCAAAACTAATAAGAGAGTCGCATGCACAACTAGGATAGAGTATGAGAACGAGAAAAATCGGTGCCACGAAAAATAATTAGACTAAAGTTAGGTGACCTGAAAACTTCGTGAATAAGCCGTTCTTGAGAAGCAGTGTGTGACAGATCATTGAACCCATCGTATAGGAAAAGACTTAATAGAAGCAAACTAGACTTTGGCATGGGGTTGGCAGGACCGGAAATGAGCAAAAATTACCTTTTTTGTTTTTGTCGTTGGTTACAGAACCACACTCGGACCACGTTTTTCTTCAAATCGAGCTTGTCCGCAATGGCAGCAATTCGTTCACCGGATGGTCGCGGTTGTTGTCTGCAATTTCGTATAACATTGTTAGATTGACGTCATCAATGACGGTTCACGAATCTCACCTGAAATAGTCTTCCAGAAGACGTTTCTCAGGTGCTGCTATAACAAAAGAAAATATAAATAAAACAAACCATTAGTCAACAACAAAGAATCCAAGAACATCAAAGCAGCCATATTTGACATAGTAAAAGTTAAAATTAGTAATAAACAGTACAATACATAAAAATACACAACAGTCCAATGAAGGAACAGAACAAAACCCAAATATGAACGACAATATGCATGATGTGCACAACAGGTAATAAACAAGGAAAGGATCAGGATAAGCAGTAGCTCCGGGGAAAACGGGAAAAGCTCACTAATTTTATGGTCTTTCCTCCTTCGCCTAAGGCTTAGCAGTGTCTAAACTAAAAAGACATGTGTTACATGGTTTTGAATGCATTGCCACTGCAGTGCCCCGTATATTGCGATAG